ATAATTGGAAAAAATCCTGATCATAAAAGGAGGAAAAAAAAAAAAGACTCAAAAAATCTCAAGAATTTTAGCAAGGCCTATTCTGAAGACCATGAACCTTCAATTAAGGGAAGTCCTTGAATAAACAAAGAAAACATATTATATTCCTGGATGGAAAGACACAATATTATAAGAATGTCAATTATTTATAATTTAATTTCTAGGTTTATTGTAATTCTAATTAAAACTCTAATAAGAGTTCTTTGGAACTTGCCAAGTTCAAATATGTATCTGGAAGAATAAGTTGGTTAAGAACAGCCAAGAAAGGTCTGGAAATAAAGAACAATGAGTAGTAACTTAGTCCACCCAAATACTTAAGCATTTTATAAAGCAAAAATAACTAAAACGGTGCAGTACTTATGTGAGAATTGATTGAGAAATCAATGAAACAGAAAAAACCGCCCCTCCAACAGTCTGGAGGGCATAGAAGAATTTGGTACATGATCCAAATTGCATCATAATTCTATATGGAAAGACAGTAAGTAATGTTTAGTTACCTATTTGCAAAAAATAATTTAACTCTTCATTTCACATCATATAGCAAATACAATTGAGATGGGTTAAAGAATACTGAACCCGCTAAGAGGTAGTACAGAGAGACGCACACTCTCCCACGGAAGTGGTAACTGGCACAGCCTTCCCAAGAGTGCCTGGCACGGCGAATCTATCAAGAACCTGGAAAACGTTCTTGTCGTTTCAACTCTGTAATTCCTCTGCTGGAAATCTTCCTGAGAAAAACAATCAGCTTTGATACAACAATACAAATTCATTCCTTACAAAAAGAAATGAGCTAAGCATTCAACTCACGAAGTTGGAATAAAAAGGAATGGAGCAAACTCAGAGAAAACAATAAGGAAGGAAATAAGACACAGGCAGAAATCAATGAAATGGAGAACACAAAGAAACAATTGGGAAATCTAACAAAGCCCAAAGCTGAAAATGTTAATAAAATTTCTGGCACAGGTGATGAAAGAAAGAAAAAATAGGAGGGAGGGAGAAGTGGAGAGAGGGAATAAGGGTGGGGGCAGTGAAAAGATGCAAATAAACAAACTATACACAATAAACAATGAGAAGGAAACAAAAAAATTAAAAATAAGAGTTTTATGAAGCACAATATACTAATCAAATTGAAAACCTATGGTGAAATGTACAGATTCCTAGAAAGTTACAAGATGTCAAAGTGAGTACTAGAATAGAAAATTTAGTTGGTAAATTGAAATAGTCAAAGACTTTCCCTCCCAGATGCCTTTTTTTAAAACAGGATACCACCTTCTATCACCTGTTTTTAACGAGAATTCAATTTGTTTTCATTCCAAGTATTGCATTCAATTGATAATTCCATTGCATCGATTGACTCAACTGATGCCCTCCTTTAGGCAGAGGCATCAATTCTTTCTTTCAAAGCTCATTATGCAAGCCTTACAATGCATGGCACGTGGCTTCTTTCCTCACATTACACGTAAACAGAGAGGCATAAGTTCCACACCTACTAACCCACAAGGCACAAACTCAGTGCAGTAGCTGTGGATTAGCCACAATACTGCAGAGCACAAGGGATGAGGTCACCTCAAATAGCAGACCCCCCCACCCCACCCAAGTATTTCCATATGACTTTAAGATGGTCTAGACCTGGTAGAGTTGGGAAGAAGGGGTATTCTGTGGAGTCCCTGCTGTGTTTTGCTGAGAGATTCAATTTGACTATGGCTGTTAAAATCTGTTGTCTCTAATGATTGACAGCCTGCTACTGCTGATGATGAGAGACAGCAATGAAGAAGATGCCTGCTCATGCCCAGAGAGGGCAGCTGTGCAGCTACCCACCGGTGGCATTTCACTTAATGCATTCTGAGCCTCTAGTACAGTCATCCTCGAACTACGGCCCTCGGGCCACATGCAAGCCACCTAAGCACATCTATCCGGCCCTCTGGGTGTTCTTGCCGCCGCTGCCTGTCCTGCTTAGCAGCCGACTCATCCCGGGCCCGCAGTGGGCACTCTCCAACGGTCTGAGGGACAGTGAACTGGCCCCTCGTTTAAAAAGTTTGAGGACTGGGAGGGGGGGGAAGGGCATTTATTGAAACTTTAAAATCTGTACCCCCATAATATGCCGAAATAAAAAAAAAAAAAGATAAAAAAAAAAAAAGTTTGAGGACCCCTGCTCTACTACGTTCTAGGCACTGTATTTGCTCCAAATACAAATGCCCCCAAAAAGTATGAGAGACAATTCTTCCAGTGGCCTACTTTTATAATGTAGGCAAGCAGCACTTTTTCCTGAATTAGAAAGTGAGGTGTGGCACCAAGACGACTCAACATTGCACCAGTTACACATACTTTGGCAAGACAGGGGGATCTGGCTTCCGTGAGCTGAACTGGCAAAACCATTAGAGGAAGATGGAGTTTCTTGGGAATGGCTTGAGAAACTTTAGCACTGACGATAAAAGGAAAAGCATAAAGGATAAAAGCAGCTTCAGGCTTGGGAATGGCCAGTAAGAAGCCACACACAAGCACAACAGCCTCTGGACCAGCTGAAGGACAGACAAGTTTTGTACTATCCACAGAGGGGTCCCCCACCCATCCCAGCAGCTTCCAGAACACAGAGACTTTAAAGTTTAACAGTTGAATAGACAAAAGAGCTTCCCCTTTAAAGCAAGCTGCTTCAAGAAATTATCAACAAATATGAATGACAAAATAGGAAAAAATATTGAGTCTAGAGTTGAACAGACCAGGGTTCAAAGCCCAGAGCCATTACTTATTAGATGTGAGACCTTGGACAAGTAATTTTTTTGAGCTTCCATGACCTCATGTGACCGGTGCAACTTCCCAGACTGGGTTTTAAAGTGATCTGCAGCTTCCAATTTTGTGCACTTGCCACACTTGGCTTGCAGCCAAGCCTGTCTTTTAAGTGATATCCACCTCATAGGACTGTGCAAGCCATCAAATGAGACAGGTACATGAAGTGCCCAACACAGTGCCCAACAAGAGCAGGTTAGCTCCTTCTACCGTGTTTCCCCGAAAATAAGACAGGGCCTTATATTTATTTTTCCTCAAGACGACACCCTAGGACTTTATTTTCAGGGGATGTTTTATTTTCCCCTCAAAGCCTCAGCTTGCAGCACGCACAGGATGGCAGGGACCTGACACGGGGAGCCAACCTTGGTGGGGCTGCCAGCACTTTTCCAGTCACCTCTGGGATAGTAGCTGTCACAATGGGGCAGATAAGAAGGGCTGCTCGTCTTCTATACCGCTCTGGGACAAAATGCATGGGTTGTGCAGATGTATGCATAGCCACACACACCACTAGGTCTTATTTTCAGGGCAGGGCTGATATTGTGCAAATGCTTAGAAATCCTGCTAGGGCGTATTTTATGGGTAGGTCTTATTTTCAGGGAAACACGGTATGTGGGCTCTGAGAGCTCCAAGAGTACACCAGGGGACGTGGCTGCTTGGACGGCCTTGACCAAAGAACACTGCTCATCTACTTTAGATGGTCACTCTGCACCCAAGCCCACAGCTTTGAGTGGGACAAGTGAAAAATGGGGAGAAAGGTCAATCCTGGTGACCCACAGGGCGACAGATGAAGGCAGAGCACTCTCAAGTGCGCTCCCAAAACCTACCTTTGCCATTTCCATGACTACACTACTCTCAACATGCTCCCCGTCTTCAAGATAAATCCGACACACAGTGTCTTTCCCAATCAAACCCTGCACTTTGATCTAAGCTCAACTCTTTCCACTCCCCCATCACACCCTGCACTCCAGTCCTGCCAAGGGTCTCACCGTTCCCAGATCATGCTATTCTTTCCCCCACACCAATGGCATTATACAAGCTTGTCCGTTTGCCTACAAACCCATCTCTGTCCGTAGTTCCTCAGCCTTCTTCTCTACTTGGCTGACTCCTGCTCCTCTTTGAGGCAAGGCTCAGTAATCGTCATCACCTCTTCAAAACCATCCCTACCTCTGGCAGAGACTGCTCATGGTCCCTTCCTTCTTCCATGGCATAAGAAGATTTAGGCAGCACATGGCCACCAAGCCAAAGACTACATTTCCCAGCCTCCCAGCTGTGACTGAGTGCTGACCAAGTAGGTGTGAGCAGGAGTGACAAGTGCTACTTGCCAAACTGTCCTTAAAGAAATGACGGCTCCTATTCCCCTGACTATGGGCTGGAATGAGACTTGAGGATGGTTCATCTCCAACGTGCATCATCATCTCCAACATTCAGTATGTTGACAAAGGCAACATATTAAAGATGACAGAACAAGAAGATAAAAGGCATCTGGGTCTCCAACACCATCAAGTTGCCTCCATACGTCTGAGATATGTCTGAGTAACGGTGAAAGAGAAAATGGTTTACTTTGAATCCTGAATGCAAATCCCCTCCGTGGCCTTTGATAGCCATTGAACCAACCCCTCCCTATTATAGAAGACAAGCCACAGAATCATCTAGAAGACCCAGGACAGGGACATAAAACCTCATGGACTCAAGTCATTAATTCGGACAATTCAAGGCTAGGGGGAAGCACAGCAGGGCCCGAGTCACCTTGACTGTAACTTGGACCATATTCCTAAATCTTCTACCTCTGCTCCTTTTTTTTTTTTTTTTTTTCTGGAGACAGAGTCTCACTTTGTTGCCCAGGCTAGAGTGAGTGCCATGGCGTCAGCCTAGCTCACAGCAACCTCAATCTCATGGGCTCAAGCAATCCTACTGCCTCAGCCTCCCAAGTAGCTGGGATTACAGGCATGCACCACCCATGCCCAGCTGATTTTTTTCTACATATATGTTGGCCAATTGATTTCTTTCTATTTATAGTAGAGACGGGGTCTCTCTCTTGCTCAGGCTGGTTTCGAACTCCTGACCTCAGCCATTCCGCCCGCCTCGGCCTCCCAGAGTGCTAGGATTACAGGCGTGAGCCACCAGGCCCGGCCTCTGCTCCTTTTTTGATAGGAGATCGGACAAGCTTGGGAGCTTACCTTTGGAGACTTTGTAAACTTCATAGAAAGAATAGAAGTGGAAGCCTAGTGAAGCCAGCAGGTAAAGAGACAGCTCCCATCGGGGCAGCATCACTTGTCATGGAGGTTCCCAACGCCCACGTGGAACGATTCTGAGAAACAAAGATCAAACATTAAACCATGGAAGTGACACTTACCCCACACGCTGCATCTAACACACATACACGTCCTGCCTGCCCAGGGGGCGGGGGGGTCAGGTCTTTTCCTAGAAGTTCCCACAGCCTCTCACCACAGTTTCCTAGTCACTGCAGGACACACCTGTCTTCCTTGTGGAGTGACCTTCAATGAGCAGAGACCATGACCTCTGACTCCCAGCACCGTGCCCGGGATGTAGCAATAACTAGGTGCATTTATTATTAGAAATAATAAATGGCTTCAAAAGCCTGAATAAAAGCACAAATAAGTTCTAAACCTCTTCTAAGCTGACAGCCTCACCCTCCCTCATCCTCCCCTTCAAGTATCATTCCATAGTTGTTCATCAGAATGGAATACAAACTGCTCTGCCTTCTACGCTCTGTGTACTTCTTAAAAGTGAGTTAATGACATGACTCCAGGCAGCTGATGCAGACACTGCTTGCTGCCCAGCCCCCAACATTCAGTCTCTCTTCTTACACAGGAATTGAAATTTTTATCTGGACACATGGATGTTGAGCTCAACACTACACTCCAGCCAAGTGTAGACACTTGAATAGTTCCGTCCAGAGGGGTGTGTATGAAGGGACGTGAGGCTGTGGCCACACCCTTCACTCCTCCCTTTCCTGTTGAGCAGAGTTGGAACAGCCACCTGGACCAAGAGGTGACAGCCACGTGGGAACATAAGAGCCACCTCATTCTCTGGCTCCATGTACTACCCCACACCTCCCACCTCCAAAGCTGCCCCAGACCAACGATATCTGGACGGTTCCATGAAAGTAAAATGCAATTCTAGGTTGTTTAAGCCTCTATCATTCTAGATCTCTCTGTCATGGCAGCCATGACTAGATTCTAAGTAAGAGAGAAGGTAATGGACAGTTGGGTACTAAAATTCTGCAAATTAAATGGTCCCAAACGTTCCCAAGTAACAGAATTAACTAAACGTAAGCCCTTCTATGACCTTCATGAATGCCAAATTGAGAGCAAAATTTTAAGCCCCACAGAAGCACTTCTAATATGTGACAGTAATGCCAAAACCCAGAACTCACACGTCGTCTCATTTTGTTTCCACAACAGCCTGGTGAAGTAGGCGGAACAAGGGAGGCAGGCATTTTACCGATGACGAACGTGATGAGGTCACAAAGCCAGAAATAACTGTGCCAGGACAGAAAGACAAATACCAGATGATCTCACCTCTATGTGGAATCTAAAAAAGTCAAACTCACAGAAACAGAACAGAATGATAGTTGCCAAGAGCTGGGGTTGGGAGGAGACGTTGGTTAAAAGGCACCAAGTTCCAGTTAAATGAGATGAATAAATTCTGGGGATCTATTGTAGAGTGTGGCAATTACAGTTACTAACAATGTATCCTGTACTTGAAAATTGCTAAGAGACTAGATCTTAAATGTTCTCACCATTTAAAAATGCTAAGTAGGCCGGGCGTGGTGGCTCACGCCTGTAATCCTAGCACTCTGGGAGGCTGAGGCAGGCGGATTGCTCAAGGTCAGGAATTCCAAACCAGCCTGAGCGAGACCCTGTCTCTACTATAAGTAGAAAGAAATTAATTGGCCAACTAATATATATAGAAAACATTAGCCTGGCATGGTGCCGCATGCCTGTAGTCCCAGCTACTCGGGAGACTGAGGCAGGAGGATTGCTTGAGCCCAGGCGTTGGAGGTTGCTGTGAGCTAGGCGGATGCCACGGCACTCTAGCCCAGGTAACAGAGTGAGACTCCGTCTCAAAAAAAAATTTTTTTAATAAAAATGCTAAGTAGGTGAGGAGATAGATATGTTACTTTGATCTAATCATTTCAGTGTATCTGTATGTCAAAATATGTTCTATACCATAAATATGTACAATTTTTATTTGTCTAAATAAATGAATAAATAAGAAACTGAGCTAGGGCTCAGCTTTAGGTCTTTGGACACCCAGGCCCCCGCCCTGCCCCACCCCGCCCCTCTGCCACGGCCAGCCCCACGAATGCCAGTTTACCGAGTTCCTCGCCCTTGCAGCTTGGCTCAGAATCTGCCACACACAAACTCCTTTCTTCAAGCTCCCAGGAGACAGAGCAGGAAAGGAAATAAACTTTGGCTTTCATAAACTATGAGGTCAGAAATCAGTGGTCCTCCACCCAGAGTGCCCCATGGTTATTACTTAAAAGCCACCCAGAAAGGCAGGTCTGGGTTTCTCCTGAATCTAGGAGCTCCAAAAGCAATCAGACACTCACAGGCCTCTCTCTAAAGCCCCAACTTTCTTGGGTTCCTGCTATTTTTCAGAACCATGTCTAGCTTCGTACATTTCTACTTCTACTTTATCTTTATATACTTGCATCTCTAGAAAAACTTAAGATTCCTTTCTGGAACTTTGTAGGAATATGGCAGTCCTCTCTTTAGTGGGAAGTTAATTTTAACTCCTTGGTTTTATGATCAAAGGCTGTTGGTATTATACTGCATGACCTCCTCACCTTGCTAAGAACCTGTGATTAGCAAAGAGCTGAACTCCTAAAAATGCTACTGAAATTTGAACTTAAATAATCTTGTAGATTAAAGTTCTAAAGCCCTACTCTTTGGAAGCTTTTCAAGGACAGTCTATCTGGGGCAATTTCCCTGCATTAAGGATTTAACCCTTTGGGAACTAGAAAATTCAGTTTTATAACATTGCCCTTCTTAGTGCTGCTGTTAGCTATATTGTGCAGTAAGTCCCCACCTGAGGTTGCTAGCAGGTTCTTGGAAACTGCGACTTTAAGTGAAACAACATATAACCAAACCAATTTTACCAAGGGCAAATTGATACAAACAAGAGTTAAGTTTCTACAGCATTATTTCTGGTCACAAATACATTACCAAACTTCTAAAGACCGACCCACAATATTTCTAATATTAAACATCGAAATAAATGTGAGCTATACAAACATTTAAGAAAGATTAGTAACAAAATCATTATTTACCCAGGTTCTGGTGCACCTGTGAGTGATGGTAAGTCACATTTGTGATGGGATAAAGGAGCAAATGTTTGCAAAGCAAAAATTGTAAGTGCTCTCACTACCACCGCGCAGTTCAAAACCATCACAGTTAGGTCAGACTCACTGAGCACTTCTGCACCTCATCATTTATTGTTGTGCATTGGAATGATTATCATAGATTTTATGAGTTTTTATTTTCCAATCATTTCTATTTATTCATTCATTTTCCAACCCGCTTATTCCAGCTCAGGGTCTGGGGTGGCCGGAGCCCATCCTGGCAGCTCAAGGTGCAAGGTGGGAACCAAGCCTGGACAGGCCACCGTGCCCTGGCAGAGCGCATGCGCACATACACACACACCCCCACATGCACTCACACTGGGACCGTTTAGACACGCCAATGAACCTAATAGGCACAGCTTTGGGATGTGGAAGGAAACCGGAGTATCCAAAGAAAACACATGCAAACGTGGGGAGAACGTGCAAACTCCAGACAGACAGTGGTCCTGGCAGAGAATCATTTTCTTCCTCATCAACAGGGTAATGAAACAATGTTGAACAAAAAGACACTATTCGAGGACCTGCTGTGCATTTTCCAGACATGTACACAAAGATACATAGTAACACTAGCAGCAAAACTAGCTGTGTCCTCACCTCCAAAATTGGAGGATTGGACCAAATAGCTTCCATCTGACAGTAAATGCTGGCACCAAACCCAGCCGGGGGACTCCCAGCTCTGCCATTTATGGGTTGAGAAACTTGGGGAGGTAACAACCTCCCAGATATGTTTTCTCATAGGGTTGAATGATTAAATGTAAAATGCTAAGTCCATGGCCCAGCACTGAATAAAGCACTCAATAAACATTAGCAGTTAACAGTTACTGAATTTCGCTCATCAGGAGCCTATTCACCCACGACTCTGGTTTTCTTCCTGAATGGAGAAAATCTAACTGACCCTCCCTGGGGTGCGGCCATCCTACCTGCGTCTGTACCTTTCAGCAGGTTGGCAACCCCAGAGTTTTCTTTAACGTCTCACTCTTCTTCCCGTCCCCAACCCAAGGCCAAACTGTGCCTTGGGGCCACCCCAGAGCTGTCTGCCCAGTGTCTCTTCCTCACCACCTCTCTGGCTCAGCCCCAAGGGAATTAATTATATGCTGTACTCTGAACTTTGTTTCATCACCCTCTCAAAACAGACACTCACATATCCTTGAGTTTAAAAAAAAAAGAGAGAGAGACAGACAAGAGTCTCACTGTTTAGTCCAGGCTGGAGTGCAGTGGTGCGATCATAGCTCACTGTAACCTCAAACTCCTGGGCCCAAAAGATTCTCCTGCCTTGGCTAATTTTTGAATTTTTTTTTTTTTTTTTTTTTGGTAATAACAAGGTCTCTATGTCGCCAAAGCTATTCTCGAACTCTTGGCCTCAAGCTATCCTCCCACCTTGGCCTCCCAAAGTGCCAGGATTATAAGCATGAGCCACTGAGCCCAGCCTCGTATCTTTCTTAAGAGATCTTTCTTCCTCACATCTTCTTTCAACTTTTGCCCACTTATCTCAGAAAAATTACTCTATTTTCGTTTCTCTGTTCATTTCAGCTGTGCACCCAGAAAGCAAATCAGAGTAGATGTATGTTTTAAAGAATTGAATGACACAACTGCATCACAGAAAAGAAAAGCTGTATGTATGGGAATATAACCAGAACTTTTTTTTTTTTTTTTTTTGAGACAGAGTCTCACTCTGTTGCCCAGGTTAGAGTGCCATGGCGTCAGCCTAGCTCACAGCAACCTCAAACTCCTGGGCTCAAGCAATCCTCCTGCCTCAGCCTCCCGAGTAGCTGGGACTACAGGCATGTGCCACCATGCCCGGCTAATTTTTTCTATATATTTCTAGTTGGCCAATTAATTTCCTTCTATTTTTAGTAGAGACGGGGGTCTCGCTCTTGCTCAGGCTGGTTTCCAACTCCTGACCTGGAGCAATCCACCCACCTCAGCCTCCCAGAGGGCTAGGATTACAGGCATGAGCCACCACGCCTGGCCCTATTTTTCATGTTCTAAACAAGTGAGTTCTTCTTTAGGCAGAAGCCATCAGGATGAAATCAAGAAGAATATGTTAGTGACGCTTCCTTTCTATTTTTCATGCATGGATTTAGTCCTATGGCAACATTCAGCTAAGTGAGTAGCTATGAGACAGTGCTATAAATCACCATTTACAACATCATTTCTGCAGGAAATGGCCAGTCTATAGGCACATAGCCCATTTCTGAGCAGGAGTCTAACTGATCAATCTACACGGATAAGGCTGTCCTGCTAATGCATGAGAGGCAAGAGGGTGCTGGGATGTCTGACAGTGAGGAGAATAGTCTGAGAACATTTCCATCAGGGTGGGAATATTGGTCAGGACCAGAAGAGGAGAAAATGAGGGTAGAGAGGTGAAGGGAGAATAGGAGGCCCAGGGCAGAGTGTCTTCAACACAAGTGACTTCAAGTTTGGATCTGTGGCCCTCCAGATCCCCAAGTGTGGCCCCTGGACTGGATCTCAACAGAAAGGATTTGCGCTGTAAAATTTGGATTCAGTCAAAAGTCAACACTCAAGGATCCAGAAGGCCACATGTGGCCCCAAAGCCACAGGTTCTCCACTCCTAAAGAGTCACCAAAGCCAGGTGTGGTGGCTCACGCCTGTAATCTTAGCACTCTGGGAGGCTGAGGCGGGCAGATTGCTCAAGGTCAGGAGTTCGAAACCAGCCTGAGCAAGAGCGAGACCCCATCTCTACTAAAAATAGAAAGAAATTAATTGACCAACTAATATATATAGAAAAAAGTCAGCTGGGCATGGTGGAGCATGCCTGTAGTCCCAGCTACTCGGGAGGCTGAGGCAGCAGGATCACTTGAGTCCAGGAGTTTGAGGTTGCTGTGAGCTAGGCTGACGCCACAGCACTCACTCTAGCCTGGGCAACAGAGTGAGACTTTTTCTTTTTTGAGACAGAGTAAGCAATTCAGGCTCTCAGTGGGAAGTGGAGAGAAGGTGCTGGAACCAAGACACACAGATGAGGAAAAATTGGGTTGCCCCTGGCATCAAACTAGTCCAGAAGTCGGAACAAAAAAAAAAAAAATAGGAAAATAAAGAATATAAAACAGACTAGTAAGACTACAGGATCTCAAAGCTAAATGTTATCGATGAGAGTAGAAATTCGAGGCAAGTGAA